CCTTGGGATCTACGCTTTTAAGCATCGAAGTTACTTCCTTACAGAGGCCTTTCCAGATTTTGTCAAGTTATGTCTCCCCAACCCTGTTGTCTCAAGGAGGACCTTGTGGCTTTCTGGCCATAGCAGTTAGTAAATCACATTATTCAAAAGGTGGCTAGATTGTAAACTCGGGAAGGGCAAGCCCATGCCTATTTTGTTTGATCCTGAAGCCTCACTGCCTATCCCAGAGCATAACAAATAGTAAGTACTTCGTAAGCATTTCTTTTAAAAAAAGAGTGAACATTAATATGAAGTGCAGGAGCCTTGGTGGTGTGGTGAGTTACTGTATATACTCTTGTAGAAGCCGAGTTTTTCCAGCACATTTTTATGCAGTTTTTGTGGTAAAATTAGGTGCCTCAGCTGATAATCAGGTTGGCTTATACTCGAATATATATGGTGCATTCGGGACGATTGACCTCATGATCAGTAGTTTGAAACCATCAGCTACTCTGAGAAAGATAGGCAGTGCCTACTTCATAAGGAATTGCCAACTGGGAAGCCCATGGGGCAGCTCTACCCTGTCCTGTAGAGTCGCTGCGAGTTGGAATGGCCTTGTGACAGTGAAGTTCCAGAGGGGTATGCTCGGTTTGGCAGTTAAGGCCTGTGTACCCGTTTTGTGGGAGAAAGACCTGCTTTGAGGTTGATTACAGCCAAGAAAGTCCTATTGGGGGGTGGGGTGGGAGTCTAGTCTGTCAAATTAGAATGCTGGGAGCTGAAAATGACTGGACAGTCCTAGTAGAAACTTATGTTACGTGTTTTTCTACACTTTCAGCCTAAAGCGCCCAAGGGAAAGAGTGGCGGTCGGGAGAAAAAAGTCGTCCATCCGTACAGTAGAAAAGCAGCCCAGATTACCAGGCAGTCCCACAAACAAGAGAGAAAGGAGAAGTAAGTGTCTTCGCCGTTTGCTCTATACATTGGTGAAAAGTCAGTTTGTGCGCTTATCCTCCAGGCAGGCGGCTTTATGTATTGAATCCGCTCCAAACATTGAGAGTAAAATAGTTAGTAAGGTCTTATGTAGCTCAATAGATGGATAGATAGATCAGTAAATTTAAATAGAAAATTAGTTCAATGAAGAAACTTTAAAAGGCATGAAATGGAGAATGGGGGAGACTTTTGGGGGCACAACCATGGAAAGGATCTCTGAGTGAGTAGCATCTGAACAGAGAGTTGAGAAATGAGGGAGCTGTGATGGATACAAAGTGAGCCTACTCAATGCTTATGAAGAGCCCTGGTGGTACCACGGGTCAGGCTAACCAGTGGCTGTTCAGGATTGGTTATCCAAACCCAATAGGTGCTGCACAGGAGAAGAATGAGGTGGACGTCTCCTGTAAAGATCTATGGTCGCAAAAACCCTCAGGAGCATTTCTGTCTTGCCTTATTGAGTTGCTGTGGCCAGAATGAAACAGTGGAGGGTCAGCGACAAAGAAGGCCCTCAGAGAGAGGGTTGCCATGGTAGCTGCACCGATGGGTCCAACATGGCAACACCTGTGAGAACAGTGCGGGACCAGGACGTAGTTTGTTTTGTACAGAGGAGGGCTATGAACTGGAGTCAACTTGACAACCCAAGAACAACAAAACCAGGATGAGTCAGAGCCAGCGTGATAGCACAGCTTGAGTTACAGCATCGGTGACCAGGAATCAGATTTGACTTTTCAGTAGGAGCATGATCACAGTAGCATCTTCAAGTTCAGTTGATCGCCCTGCACTAAAGCAATGAAAAACCCAAACAGACTCATTGCCATCAAGTCAGGGCCAACTCAGAGCGACCCTGCAAGGCCAGGTAGAATGGCCCCTTTGACTTCCAAGACTGACTGTTTCCAGGAGTAGAAAGCCCATTCTCCTGAGGACTGCCTAGTGGCTGTGTCCTTGCAGATCTTGGCCCACTGTGTGAGCACTACATCCCCAGGGCTCCACCAGTAGAAAATGAACAGCAGGGTATAACACAAACTTCAGGCACCCAGCTACTGTTGTTTGTTATCTACTACTATTTTATACAATTTTTATTGTGTAAAATTTAGCACACCAAAAATTTAGCTTAGAAAACTGACATTTACTTTCTCACAGTCCACATCAATTAGGTGTCTGGAAGCTTTTAACCTGGGTCCTTCGGATTCAGTCTCTTGCTCTGAAATGTAGGGTAGGACCGCTGTCCTCTCAGGTTGCTTCAGTGCCATTACTGTTACTTTTTTTTTTTCAGAGTAGGGGAGAAGATGGAAGATAATCTTTGGCACAGTTTTGGAATCTCTTCCATCACTGTTGCACTGTTTTATTTGTTAATTAAATCACTAGATTCAGCTGCACTCAGCAGGGCAAGGTCATGAGTACCAAAGGCAAGAATCATTGGGGGCCATTTTAGATAACTACCATCTTTTGGTGAGATCTGTCAATTAAAGGTACTTGTTCTCTGAAACAGGGTGGTTTTACTTTCAGTTGCAGTTTTAAATCTCAAATACATCTTCTTTCTTTTGCAATTCCTACTACTCTAATTTGGGCCTTGCTGAGTTTGTTCAGCTCTGGTGACTGTTTTTGCATGCATTACTTGTTGTTTTTCCAGCTGATTAGCATTCCACTTCATGGATATGGCACTCATTATTCATATGAGGATGGTCACTGATTGTGTCCAGCTTTTTACTATTTTCCGAGGTTGACAAATTATGAGGCCAGCCACTTTTATATAAAGTTTTGTTGGAAAAGTCATGTCCATTTGCTTATGTGTCTTATGTATGTCTTTAAAAATTATGTTCATGCAG